GACAGGTCCTGCAAGGGAAGTCCTAACATAATGGAAAAAAATATTTAAAGTAATTTCAGGCAAAACGAACCAAAGGAACTTGCAATTATTTACTGAATTCTGAATGACACTCTTTAACTACTAACATCCATTCCATGGTTCTTTATGGAGAGTTCTGAAGCCACACCATCAGGTTCATTTCAAATTACTAGATAATGGAAGGGAGCCCTGACGTTGATTTGGATCTCAATTACACCAGGATAAGCTTGGAGAACTTAGCAGAAATCAGCAGAATAAGATCAATGTCTGCTTCTGCTCATGAAGGTTATTGAAGTGTCTGTGACTGGGCTGCAGTAGTGCTGGGAATATCAGGAGAGGAAGCATAATAAATTATTGCTCCTAGCAGGCACTGAGGATTAAAGTTATAGGACAAATTGGCAATATGCTAGCTATTACATTTTTTCTAACGATTTTGTAGGAGGTACACCCATTAAAGAAGCTCTTCAAAATTCTGCCAAATGGTTTTATTAAGGACAAAAGGAGTGCAGACAAAGGATAATTTATTTTTCTGCCTCTATTAGAATGAAACTGTTTCTGCAGCTAATGCTGCTGAGTATATGAATGAGTCTTTGCTCTTTTGCGCTCAGTGCTGCTAAGACTCCAGCGTGCACAGGACGCCTGTGATGCCGGTTCTTGCCACCCGGCCATTGGAGACCTCCTCCTGGGTCGCAGCAAGCAGCTAATGGCCTCGTCAACTTGTGGGATGAACGGCCCTCAGAAGTACTGCATCGTAGGTTACCTTGAGGTTGGTTTGTTCCTTTCCTTTTTTAATAAACTAAACTTTGCTTACTAAGAATATTCTCATTTATAAAAAGGAATTGTCCGGAGTAGGACGTTTCTATTGGAGTTGTTTGAATAACCATCAGGCGGCACAAAATAAGCCTAGTGGAAGTCTACAGCTTATTGCAGCACAGATGGAGCGTTTGGCAGTAAACAGCAAAAAACCTTCAAAGTGACACATAGCTTCTCAAGAGAGAGGAGCATCAGCGAAATGCCAATGAGCGCAAGGACTTTGCTCTGAAAACCATCTTCCTGCTCAGAGGCCTCAAAGATAAGGACCAGAGTTTGCATGGGCAGTGGTGTTTGGCACGATGAGCGCTGTAGGCTGTAGACCTTCCTAAGAGATCCTCCCACCCTGCACTGAGACCTGAGGCAGCCTGTTAGAGATTCATACCCTGTCTGCTCATGTGGTTTGATCTAAAATAAGATCTATGTTGACAAATGCAGAAAGACATCTCTGGCAGAGGGAAACCCTACAGTAGGCTGCACTGGGACCAGTGCCACTTCTCCCCCTCCCTCTTCATCCTCTTTTGGTCCTGGTGCTTTCTTCCCTCCCTTTTCAAAACTGTCTCAGTGAAGCTGGGAATCCTTCCATTAGCGGTGGCCATAGGACTCCCACACAAGTCCTGGGTTCCTTTGCCAGTGATGAGGGACCAGATTGCTTGGGTTGGGAGCACCAGTTCCCATATGTACAGGCTGCACCTATGGGTCTTGCTGGCCATGGCAGAGGTCCCTCTCGCTCCCTGGCAAGGGAGGAGGTGCCTGTCAGGGCTCTGCGGGTCCAGCTGGTGTGTGGAAACACCAGCAGAGATGAAGGGAATTCCCCTTTCTCAAATCCTGGAGGACTTGGCCCTAGTGAGCTAATAAATCAACACAAGTAGAAATATTCTTTTTTTTTTTTTTTTTTTTTTTTACCAAAAACCAGCTATAGGCTGAATGGGAAGTTAATAAAATACCGCTTATTTTATAAGCAATTAAAAACTGTTACAGTTAATCACCTTCCAGCATAATGCCATGACACATTTACAGTTTAATGCTCTGCAGTACTGAGGTGTCACTGAGCTCTGCTTGGAGTTACTCATGGCAAATAGGTTTTTCTGCGAATTTTAAATGCCTCTTTCTTCTTCCCAGAGAGCCTGTGAGCCAAACTTCACCTTTTGCAGTTTTCCTCCCACATGGTTTGTTAAATGGGACTTCGGCATTTACTCTGTGTGTAGGTATTGCTTGGGGCACAGGAGTGCAAAGAGCCACCTAAGGGACCTCTTGAGTACTAGATAATTAATATTTTCATTTGCCGATACTTACCCTTTGAATTATGTACATACAAAGTCATTAAAATGAACAGCTGTTCTTGAGATAATCCGTGTGATTTAATGCTGTTTCAGTGTAGCTGGACCCCTCTGGTGACTCTTTCTTGAAGATAAGAGTCACAAATTCTGCTGCTTTACAGAGCTCGGAAGATAGAGGCTTATGCTCTGGCAATTTGATTTGCTACACTAGCTCCCTGTAAATGTGTGTGTGACTTACAGTCTCTCAGAGAGTTCTGCTGCAATTAGTTCTTCTCACCAGCACATTCTGTGTGCTTTCCTAGAGGGAGGCCAGGAAGCTTGGCATCTTCCAAAGTCAAGTTCTTTCCCCTAAAATTCTCCTTTGATGACCCATGTCAGGTATCATGACAAGAACAAACCTTACTTGTGAAAGTACGCATTAGTCAATGTGGCAAACTGCCCAAAATCAGTAAGTGGTTAGGATGTTTTGTTGAAAATTCAGATCGAAAAATACAGATTTTAATGTCTTAGTGTTTGAAAAGAGGCACTGTAATTATATGCAGTCTTATTTAGAATAACACATCCATTTGTTTCTAAAGACATTCAGTGGATTTTAGCCCTCTGAATGGATTTAACTTACACATATTCTGAGAGAAAAATAGAGAAAACTCAGTACTGAAGAAAGTACAAAGCTGCACACTGCAGAGACAAACAGGATCTGGCAGGCTCGCATTATGTGGACATGTATGTGCTTGTCATTTGGGAAGCGAAAAGATTTTTACCGTGCAACCTTGAATGTAAGTTGAATGAGTGTCATATTATGTATCTATATAAACTGCTTGAGTAACTTGAGCACTCCACACCAGAGCTATCTAAAATGTGGTGACTGGGTATTTTTTGTATTTCTGTCTCATCTTACAAATTGAACCACTCATCACATCCATGAGTCAAGTACACTGTAGAATGGCTAAATACAATATATATTTATCATATAATTTAAAACACGCCTGTGTATATAACATACCTGTGAATCTATATCTGTTTATTTATTTAAACATGAATAACTCCCAGCTGATTAAAGATGTGCAAACCATTCCTAATACTTCTCTGCACACCTTGAGCCTCAACTAAAGGCCTGAATCTGTGGCACCACTTCCGTTTGCTCCTCTCTACCCTAAGGTAGGGTTGTATCTTCTTCATCCTGATGTCCTGTCCCCCTTGGCTCCCCTGGCAATCTCCTCTGGTTCTTTACCCTTTCAGAGCACTCGCTGGAGGATCCTCCTCTTGCTGCTGACTTTTCGAGGGGCTCTGCTATCCTGAGGATCTTGCGTGAACTAGCTTTTAAACCAGTGTCTCTCATATTTTATCTCTTTACAAGAGATCAGATGCCTCATCTAGGTGTTCTTTCTTTCTGGATGTAGCAAAAACAAATTAGTGAGATTTTTCCTTTTCATCATTTGAAACAATATTGCCATTGTACCTGCCAGTCAGTCACAGAACTTGAGCATTACCTTTGGCTTCCACTTCTCCATAGGTCCTTACAGCCAGACTGTGCCTATGGTTTGTAGAGTCTCCCTGTGCAGCATGTTGTAGAGGCAGCTGTTCATGTCATAGTCATGTCCCCACATCTTCTTTCTCACGTCGTTACATTTCCCCAGGGCATTGTTGAGGACAACCATATTCCACCTGTACTTGTTCTCAGTGTATGAACATGGATGATTTTCCAGCCTGGCACTTCAACCTTGTCACCTCTCCTTACATCTTCTACTAATTCCTGCTTCTTTATCATCATGAACACGAGCTACTTGCCTTCACTTTCAGAGCCTTTTTCAGACAACAACCTCTAATCATGCCACTTTCATCATGTGCTTGTTGCATTTTCAAACAAGCCCTATCACTCTGCTGATGCCCAACCTCCCCTACTTCACTTTTAAGCTTTTCCCATTCCACTATGCCTACAAGAGGCATCAACAGTGGCTGCAGTGATGGTATGAGGCAAGATCACCTATTTGTATTATGTCAACGGCTAGTTTTCCTTCTTTTTATACTGTTTGGTGCTCTCAGCCAGGTCTTTGAGGCACCACGGTGTCATAGATAACAGAGAATGTGCAAAAGGCAAAGTGAAATAAATCTATATGTGATTTAGGAAATGTCCCTTCCAGAGCTTCTCTCAAATCTTGAAAGAGCAACTCATCCCTCATATCCACTCTGCTGCCTCACTCCATTCACCCACTTGAATTTTCTGCAGCTTTTATGAGATACAACTAAAAACTTAACTTTTGAAAAATAATTTTCTCCTGAGAAATGCTTGCGAAAGAAACCACCTTACAGCTAAAGCTAGAACCAACACCTTGATAATCTTATTTATTTGCTAAGATTCCCTCTTCACAGCAGAAAATGTGTGTTTCTATATGGCGCCTGAGGCAAACCAAGGTCCTACCATCCCAACACCCATTACATTCCTGCATTCTTTGTGCATATAATGAATTTGTTGAACTCAGTTAGAGGTTTCCTTTACAGAGGCATCCAAAGCAACATGACAGGTTCCAATCTTACAATCAAACATGTATGTGTATATCCACCAGATGTTTAGAAAAAAGACCAAATTCATCCATCCTGCTTATTTTGTTTTCTAGGCCGACCAGAAGTGCTTTCTTTGTGATTCCAGACACCCATACAATTCCTATACACAGCACAACAGCCACATGATTGAAAATGTTATCACAACTTTTGAGCCTGATAGGAAAAAAAAATGGTGGCAGTCAGAAAATGGTAAGTTTCTTCAAAGAAAAAGTCACTTTGTGTGGTTTGATGCACTTATACAATCATTATTCACTATTTTCCCTTTATAAAAAGGTAAGACAAAATTGCCCACCTAGTATTAAATAGGTATTTATTTTTATTAGCATCATTCTTAAAAATGAGGAAAACACTTTGGAGGGAATTAAAAGAAGAAATCTAGCTGCACACAGGATGACACAAATCTCACCGTCATCACGTATTTACAGAGCAAATACGGTGTGAACTGGGCTTGGAACATCCCATGCAGCCTCAGTGACATGCAGCATCGCTGGGTATCACATTGTGCATTGCATTACGCTGCAGGGAGGGAAGGGGACAGAGGGGTCTAGGCCGGATGCCAGTTTTGTGCTCCTTGCAAATGGAAAAGGCACTTTACATGTCCCACTGAAAAGCTATCTCAGCAGCCCCTGTCTTTCACTGTCTTTTCAGGCATTGACCATGTCAGCATTAGATTGGACCTAGAAACTGTATTCCAGTTCAGCCATCTTATCCTGACTTTCAAGGTAATGTTGTATGCACATATTTTACTTGACCTTTCATTTAATTTTATACACTAATTATTAAATCACTGGAATAGATTGCTTAGAGAAGCTGTGGAGTCTCTGTTTTTGGAGGTTTGTAAGAACAGATTAGATAAACACCTGTCAAGAACGGTTAAGTTATAGCTGATACTGCCTTAGGGGAGTTAGATAGGCAGAATAGTTTCCTCTTCATGTGCCTTCTGGCCTTATTTTCTACTAATCTGAAAATTGTAGTTGAAAAAAGAATAAATTACAAAGTTGAGTTCTCAAAATTTAGGAAATGCTAGAACTGAGCATACTCATTCAAATATAACTATGCCTTCTCCTGCATATGTATTAGGATCCAAATAGTTACAAGTTTTTCACTACAAAATCAGTATTTTGTTGTAGTATATTGCCTTCCTGAAAACTCAGCTTGTATTTATAAAGAACATAGCCATTCCTCTTTGCTGAGAGGGTCCAGCTGAGGAATGCTGATTTTTATGTGCTTCGGGTGGTCTGCTTCAGAGACCCGTGTAACCAGCACAATAACCTCCTGATGGGCCTACAAGCTACGAAACACAGAATTTTAACTGTCAGCTGTTGATGTCCCCCATACAGGAATGACAATACAACAACCTTTGGTATTGATGCCTGTTTAAGGACTTCTTAAAATAATGTTTCTTACAGACATTTCGGCCTGCAGCGATGCTGGTTGAGCGCTCCACAGATTTTGGTCAGACCTGGAAAGCATTTAGGTATTTTGCCCAGGATTGTGCAGCTTCTTTTCCCAACATCTCTTCTGGTCCAGCAAAAAGTGTGGGAGACATCATTTGTGACTCCAGATATTCTGACATTGAGCCCTCCACTGAAGGAGAGGTATTACCAAATATCTCTATTCTATGATTTCAGACCATATATTAATATTTTTCTGTATCTGAGGAACTCTGTTCTGAGTCCATTGTATATATATTTATATATAATGTATACATATCGAAAGAGAGAGAGAGACATGAATTGTTACTGATTTGACTAAATAAGAGAAAAAAACCTACTGCATTTAACCTCCAGTTTCACATCCAAATGAACTCATAAATGAACTTTTACAAAACTTTTTAGTGTTTTTTTTTTCTGGTTTCCAAATTCATATAAAATTCTCTCCTTATAAGAAATATTGGCGCCCCATTGACCTCTACTGCTATGGCAAGGGTTTGTCCTTTGATCCCTTTGGAGGGAGCCAGCCCCATTTTCTACATCAGGCCTTTCCTGACACGTCCCTCCATCAAAAGGTCTTTTGCTTCACTTCAAAGCTATGCTGAACAGGGTGAGAGCACTTGCCGGATGAAGGGAACAGCCCTGTTTTCCCTTCTGTAGGATCAGTAAAGTGGCATCAGTAACAAGTGAGTCTCACGTGACAGATTTTGTATGTCAGAAGAAAAGATTGCATTACATCTATTACCTTTTTTTTTCTTTTTTTTTGCAGGTTGTCTTAAAAGCTTTGGATCCCAGCTTTGAAATAGAAAATCCGTATGTGCCATATATCCAAGGTACGAACAGCCTGGGCTTTCTCCAGAGATATTTTGCTGATATTGTTTGTGTAGGGAAAGGGTGAAGGGTTCAGTAGTGTAGCTCAGTGATTCTGAAAATTAAGTATATAAAGATTTTAAGGAAACATCTGTGCTAAATAAAATAAGCCAGTTTTATTATTTGGTCTTGATGGTGAATGGCATGGCTCTGTGTAGCTTGGATTGCTCACATCCATAGAGGTAAATTATTATTCTTAGGAGCAATCTCAGAGCCATACTGCAAAATGCAGTTTGGTCCAAGCCAGAGCCATGCCACAGAGGATGCCAATACTTAAATAGCTGTATGCTGCAAACGGGTGTGTTCCCTGGCATGATACAGGTGACTGACCTGGAGGAGCTTGACTGACAGCAGACTACTTTACCTGGATTTCTTTGGTTTAGGGAAATTTCTGGATGATTTATCCAAGAAGATTTGACTTGGTTTCAAGTCTATAGAATTTAGAGTAGTTTGGGCTCTTCATTTCTTTTCTTTTCTTCTAGAGTTCACTACTTTGACAAACCTAAGGATAAATTTCACTAAACTCCACACCCTTGGGGATGCTCTGCTTGGAAGAAGACACAATGATCCCCTCGAGAAGTATTACTACGCTGTCTATGAAATGGTTGTGCGTGGCCGTTGCTTTTGCAATGGTCACGCCAGCCACTGTGATCCTGTGCAGAGCCTGCGGGGAGATGTTTTCCATCAGCCTGGAATGGTGCGTCCTAAAAGTCCTCTCCAGGAGGGCAGGCCCTATGGATATTTTGGAAGAAGGGCTGCAGAGGGGAGCAGAAGGGAGGTCTCTGATGATCCTTGGATTGATCATACGCAACTACACCCTGTAAAATGTTTCAATACAGCTTCATCCTTACAAACCCTAGGACTGATTGCCCAGAATTTGTCCCTTTGTTGGCATTAGCAACCGAGAGGAGACATGTTGATGATAGCATCAAAATACCAGAGCTGTAATGGTGCAAATATAATGCAGTAAGTAGCTGGTGCTACGTGCAGGCTTGAAGGGCTGCTCATTGGGCACATTCCTTCCCTGCCGCTGGACTTGGGGCATCTGCAGCAGCAAAGGGAGACACCAGCACAAAGACAATCTGACAGCATTAAGATAACCCGTGAAAAGTGGCTTATTATAAAATTCAGGAACATGATCATGAGTTTCTTCTTTTTGGGAACAAGTGTTTTTATTTTGTTTTGTTTCCCTAGGAAGATACATATATGAATAGACATGTGGGTAGAGAGATGTAGAAATAAAAAAGCTTTCATTTATGTCACTAGAAATAGGTTTTCTTTCTAAACACTGCACAGCAGCTTTACAACTGGTTAAAGTTGGTAGGTATTCTCCATACCTTTTACTAAGACTTTTGTCAGCTGAGGGAGCCAAAGAGCTTTGGATTTCCCTGATTTTGCTGGCCATACCAGAGGCAGAATATTACTTGAGTTTTACCGATGTGAATTTTAATGTAGTGTACAGAACACAGGAGGCCTTTTAACCATTTTATGAATGGTTATATACAGGTGCAGTAGGTACCTGGAATGCCTTAATTTGATTTGTCCTGCTGGAGGCTAGTGGCCATTTCATGGTATTGAAACGTGCATCAGTAAAGAAAAAATAAACCACTTTAAACCTGTTACTTAATGGAGCAGTAAAGTCACCAGGAACAGAATTTATAAAAATTTGTTCTAAGATGCAAGAAGGGCAAAATCTGATTCTGTCATAGAAGAGGTCTTATATATGGAAGAAGAAACATCTTTTTGATCTACATCTATCTGTTTCATTTGGGATGGGGAAGGATACTTTAGTTTTCCCCTTCAAATTCCACAAAACTAAAGAAATCTCTCTTCTGTTTTCCTTTCCTGGGCCTTGCAGGTGCATGGGAGATGCATCTGCCACCATAACACCGCTGGTGTGGCCTGTGGAAGATGTAAGGATTTCTACAATGATGCTCCCTGGAGACCTGCTGAAGGGACGCACGACAACGCTTGCAAACGTAAGGACAACATATGCTCTTCCTTCTCTAGCACAAGGAGGACAGGTGTAGTACAGGCCCAGGGCAATGCTTAATGGGATGGCCAAGTTTCCGGGAGGAAATCTTTTCCATGACCCTGTCTAGCAACATAGATGGATTTGTGTGTCCATCAGTGCTCAGCTGCCCTACAAGAAAAAAGAGCTGCTTCCCATTCTTATTTTTCATAAGATGATAAAAACAGGAAAAGGTGACTAACACAAAACAGATCATTCATTGGTTAGCATTAGGTCTTTCTTGTAAAGGAAAGACAAGGCTGAATTCTTTATTTTCAAAGTGAATGAATAACATTGGACTACAAAAATAATATATCAGGATCTGTAACAAATATACAGTGAGTTCTTTCTTTGATGAAACTGTGTTCACTGCAGTGTATCAACCACACATATCAGCATGGACATTTTTCCAAGTTTAGGGCCCAGTTTTGTCTTAAGTTTCCAATTATCCTTTGCAAGAATATGTGATAGTTTATTTTTATAGTCTTTTTTTTTTTTTGGTCAGCCACTGTGGCTAGCAAGCAAGCTATCTGCAGCAAAATTGAATGCAGAATAATGAATCATCATTAATACCATATACGTAGTATCAAAACTGTAAAGGTACAAAATCATAGATTTTAGAAATAACTGTTTTTACTGGAAAAGGAGGTCTGTTTTTGACCTGCACCTGATCCAGAAAATGTGTGTGTTTGGGTGTGCTTGCCAAGTGCAGCGTTGCCAGTTCCCACTAATTTAGGTAAGCCAGGCAGTTTTGGCTCCACTCCAGGAGCTCCCTGGCTTGCAATGCACTGCTGAGATCAAACTGCACCAATTTGATTGTAACACAGGCTCTTGGTTCAGCTGGCAAATGGCCCTTCCTGGGTGCAGATGTCGGCAGGGCCTTCTCCTCTTCAGAGAGGTGGAGAAGAGATGATGCCACCGAGCGGCCATTTTCTACCAGAGGAGAAAAGAAAGGGGAAGAGTGAAGAGCAGCAGCCTCTGACTCCTATTGCGCTGAGGTGTTTCATGGGTGGATGCTGCTCTTCCCTGTGGGTGGGGAACTGGAGACTAAGTCAGGCAGAAGGATCTTCTGCTTGAGGCAGGACTGGACATTCCCAGGGTTTCTTGCATGGTCTGGCAGCAGTGGTGCTGCTCATGGTGACATCAGCCCTAAGTGAGATGCCTGGAGCCTTCTGTTTTCTTCCCACTGGTGGCTTATTTGACTGCTTGGTTTATGCTTTAGAGCATTTATATGTACCCAGGTCAACTTCAGAATGATTCAGAACTACCTCCTGCACATTGCTAACTTCTGTAGCCAAGAGAATTAGAAGAGCATTTGTTCTTGCTCCCCCTTCTCTCCAACTGTTCCACACAGTCATATGCTTCATTTTCCCATTAGCCCACAGTCTTGCCATCATTATGACCCACTATGACCCACTAGCGTATATATATAAAATAAAACTTGTTGGCAGCACCAAAGCTACTAAATTTGCTGAATGCAAATGTAAGCATCGTTGCAAAATTTGGACACTGAGTTCCCTGGAAAATCTTGGTGTTTCCACAGCTGCAACGCACTTGGTCTAGGAGGCAATAATCTTGTTGGCATCCCTGGGGCACTGAATATCATACTAATAACAAGTAGCTCCTTGTTAATGGTAGATAGAAGTGGTGGCAAGATCACAGTAAGACATACGGTGCAAAGTCCCTCACCCTGTGTTTTTGGTTTCAGAGTGTAACTGCAATGGCCATTCTGACAGATGCCACTTCGACATGGCAGTGTACAAGGCCAGTGGTGGTGACAGCGGTGGTGTTTGTGAAGACTGTCAAGACAACACCATGGGGCAACACTGTGACCAGTGCAAACCTTTTTTTTACCAGGATCCACTCAAAGTCATCTCAGACCCTCACGTGTGCCTTCGTAAGCTCCCCTTTTGTAGTGTTTTTAAGAATGGCTCAGAATGTAGTGGCTCCAGTTCTGTCTGTTGCTCTCTGAGCCCCACTGCATCACTACACTTAGATGTTAGTATAGTTGTAAAAATATTAATAGACCTATTACATCCAGGCTACCTTATAAAGTAACTGCATAACAGCATCCTTAAACTAGCATTATAAAAGGAGCTGTGTATTTTCAACTCATTGCTCAACTAAGCTTTGATATACAGCAGAGATGTCATCTTTCTTAAACAACATGAACAGAAAATATGCATAGCAATGGTGTTCTTGCTTCCATGATAGACATGGATTATGAAAGAGATGATAAATGATGGGACAACTAGTATCTTTTGCTAGATCAAATGCCATATATGGGAAATATAAACTTTCAGGCATGCAAGCCCTTCTTCTGAAAGATGGGCATAATTCATTATTAACATAGCACGGGAAAAATGCTCCGAGTATAATTTAGTTGTTGTAATTGATTGGCCGTTTTGAGTGAAAAGCAGAAGGGAAGATCATGAAAGGGAGAGGTGGGGTAGATATCTGCTGTGCTGTGAGAAATGGTTTGCACCCTTGGGAAAAATGGGATGCTTCATAGGACTGGTGTCTTCTGTTGAATCCAGTGTTTCTGGGAAACAAGTCAGCCACGGACAACTCAGGCTAGCTCTGTGGAGGTGACTCGTGTGTGGAATCCCTCTGCAACTGTTTTGAGCTTATATCTAAATATGCTTTTTTTATGTTTCCTCCTGTGTAGCCTGTGACTGTGACCCAGCAGGCACCTTGCACCCTGGCTTGTGTGAGCGCCACACAGACCCTCTTATGGGAACCGTTGCTGGCCGATGTCCTTGCAAGGAAAACGTGGAGGGAACCCGCTGTGACAAGTGCAGGCCAAACTACCATGGCCTGAATGGAAATGACCCTCTAGGCTGCCAGCGTATGTAAACCACCTCTGTTATTCCTCTTTCCAAAGCAGGTCCTGGGCAAGCTCCGGAAGTATGGGATAGATGAGTGCACAGTGAGGTGGATTAGGAACTGGCTGGGTGGCAGAGCTCAGAGGGTGGTGATCAGCGGTGCCGAGTCTAGTTGGAGGCCTGTAGCTAGAGGTGTCCCCCAGGGGTCAGTCCTTGGTCCAGTCCTGTTCAATTTATTCATCAATGACCTGGATGAAGGCCCAGAGTGCTCCCTCAGCAAGTTTCTTGATGATACAAAACTGGGAGGAGTAGCTGATACCCCAGAGGGCTGCGCTGCCATCCAGAGGGACCTGGACAGACAACTGAGCAGCGAAAAACCTCATGAAATTCAACAAGGCCAAGTGCAAGGTCCTGCACCTGGAGAGGAATAACCCCAGACACCACTACAGGCTGGAGAGCAGCTCTGCAGAGAAAGACTTGGGTGTCATGGTGGACGACAAGTTGACCATGAGGCAGCAGTGTGCCCTCGTGACCAAGAAGGCCA